TTTAATTGGCTTAATATACTCGTTAATAACCGCGTCTATTTAACGCACCTGTAAAAGGCCCATAACATTAACTTAATGGCAGCGACAGTTCGCCCGGCACTTCCTGCCAGCCTTTTAAATCTCCAGACAAGCCGTTAATGGGGACTTCCTGGATGGAGATGGATTGGGGGAGAGCTAAGCAGGGAGAGGCAGCCCAGGTCACCCTTACTTGATGCTAACTCTGTGTGTCTAACCTTTTCGGAGCACAGGGCCCTCCAGAGCTGTCTCACGAGGGCACAGTGCCTGACCCAGGGGGAAATGCGACCCTGTGTGTGCTGAGGGCCTGTTGACAGGAAAGGAGGCTGCAGAGGGAGGTCTAGGTCAGGTGGCCAGTATCGCCTTGAACAGCGCATCTTAGTGAAGGCTGTTACAGAGGAGCTGAGTGGGGACAGCACACGAGAGCTCCAGAAAAATCATTGTCTATGCTGACACGGGCCAGGAACACCAAGGAAGGCCTGTCCTTTGTACCTGCTCCCAAGACCCTCCGGACTCAAGCAGTGGGAGTCCATTTAGTACCGGCTTGGAGAGGGGCCGTGGCACCCTGAGGGCACACGTGGCAGATCTTGGGACTTAAAAGACCACTGGTATTCAGTTGGTCTGTCGCCTTCACCCCTGCTCAAAGGCACACCCCGGTCAGGTAGGTGTCTTATTTCCAGCCAGGCCCACCTATGATCAACTGGAGATGAACACATCAGTGTATTAATCCGTTAGTGCCCTAAGTCCCCATCAGCAAGGGACCAAGCCTTCAACACGCGGGCCTTCAGGGGATTATTTTATACCCCAGTCACAATGGATGATCTCTCTCCCTGGGGAACCGTCCATGTGGAGCATACACCAGAAGACCGCAGTGGCCTAGGGCCTGGATGTTTCTGTTTCTAGCACCCACCTCCGGGTTGCTGGCCCTGTCTCAGATCCTGTATGACTCCCCTCTTCAAAGGCTGCCACCTCATTGACCTCTGCATCCAAGCCACAAACCCTCCCAGCCCACCATTCAGTCTGCCGGACCTCACTGTTGATTCCCAGGGCAGTATGTCAAACTGTCCCAGGAGTCAGTGCCAAGCGGCCACCATACCCCAGACATGACAGTGAAAAGCTGCCCCTTAATGTTCCTGGGGGTGGAAGTCTTCTGGACATGAGATGTGTGTGTGTGTGGCCTCTCCACAGCTGGGTCCAAGTGTCAGTCACGTGGCCTTTTATCAAGCCACTGCAGGTGGTAGTGAACACCTTTAATCCCAGCACTCGAGAAGCAGAAGCAGGTGGATCTCTGTGAGTTTTGTGAGGCCTCATTGTAAGTTCCAGGACAGCCAGGGCTACATAGAGAGACCCTGTCACCTCACGAAAGTCACTTAGCAACATTCCCGCCCACCCATACTACATTCTTCTCAGTATAATGAAGCCACTAATCCAGTTTATATCAAACGAGGGGGACCAGACGTGGCTACTTAGGGAAGATGTGCCCAAGAATGCGGATGTGTCCACCACACCTGTCAGCCTGCCCCCCTTCTGTTTCGGGGGCTTGTTACTGCCTGCCATCCCATCCAGGGTGCTGGCTCCTTTCCTCCCTGCCTGCATGGTAGGGCCCTGGAAGCAGTGGGTGTGTGGCAGACAGCAGTGGCAGGGGTCCAAAAGGGACAGGCTCAAGCGTCTGCTGTGTCCTATGGGAGTGGGGCCCAGCTGTGTACAAACCATTAAGGGAGCCCTGAGTCTGGTGGCCAGCTGCAGGCAGTGCCATGGTCCCTTCAGTAATGACAGCTGCTACTGAGATTCCTCGGACCAACTGGAACAGGGGTAGGGCAGGCTGGGTGGCTGGGTGGATGCTGGGCTTCTCCATGGGGCATGCAGCTTCCGCCTTCCCCTCCCCTAAGGAGCCCGCTGACACTCAGCTCTCCAGCCTCTCCATGAGGACCTTTCCCTCTTCCCATTGCCCTGTGTTTACCAGACCCTGAGATGGTGTGAGCACTTGTGACAGGGACTTTGCAACCTGGGCCCAGCAGCCAAGTAGCCGAGGGTCCCAAGCCAGGTCCACTGCAGAACAGGCTGTGCTGTGAACCACTCCAGGGTAGCCAGAAAAAAAGGGTCTTTTAGGGACCAAGGATTAAGGCCTGGGTATCATCTCAAAGGCGTATGTGGGGCCATGATTAAACCAGCCCTGTGATGGGAAACCCCAGCGGCCTCGCTGTCACCATGCCCAGGAAGAGGCTCACCAACACCAGCCTGAGCAGCCAGGTGATGGCTAGAGAGAGTGGTGGCCCTCAGCCGTCAGACATGACCCAGCCCTGCTGGGCGCTGCCTGGGGTGGAGTGACGGTGACCCAGAAGACAGACCGGTCTAGCTCTGCCCTTGGCTGGTTATGACCTCTGACCTCTTAACCTACAAAATGGAGACCTGTGTGTTATCTTATCTTGGGTCAGGTGACAACACTGTGTGGCTGATGGGACTTGGAAACCCAAGAGCCACTTGGCTGAGTGTCTACTCAGGGTCCCTCAGGAGGCTCGGCTGGGACTGGACAAGACTCACATGGCCACGCTTCTATTCATCCCTTAGGCCTCTCCAGGGTCCCCGTGTGACTGGGTGTCGTGGGCAAAGCAGCCCACAGAAAACCATGTTTCCTTCCAAAGGGTCTTGCTGGTTATACAGTTCAACCTTGCCTGCTGTGGCTTCAGGGGACGGCAGAGTCTAGAGTGCCAGGTGGTCAGAATGACTAGGAAGCCAGGGCTCCAGGCCGGCTGCCACATGTCATACCCCTATATACGTCACAGGGATGCCATCCCTCCACACACACACCACTCAGAAAATGGTGGGTGCAGAGCCTGTACCTGGCCAGCGCTGGCCAGCGCTGGCCACCGCGAGCCTCTGCCTCCAGACACCACTGTCTGCAGGAAGCCCGCTGACCAGATGGGGGCCAGGTGCGCCCTCTTTTGGTAAGAAGACCAGGGAAGCAGGCATTTCCTCCCTTAAGGTTTTGAACACCTAATTTATTCCATCCATTAGATAGATTTTGTAGATTTAATCATTTTCACAGTTGGTGGCTCATTGGATACTCAAGATAAACTCCGAATGAAAGCGTAATGCAGAGGACAAATGAGTTTTCACACCACAGTGGCAGACACTTGCCTGGGAAGAGTTTAAGGGGAACACAAATACACACGGCCATCATTTTTTTCCCCTCCCGGCAGCTGCTTTTGCTGAGTCTGGTAGGTTTCCACAGCTAATTTCACCAGTTTTGTTCATCTGTAAAATTGCATAAAAGTGACATTTTTGTGCTCATTATGGCAACTGCTGATTTATGGCTGGCAAATGAAGAGCGGGTCCCTTTTCTGCGGGACTCTCAGAGCGGTGCTAAGTGCCCATGAAATTGCTTGTATAATGTAGTTTAAAATCCAATCGCAGAGAAAGATTCCTCCGTTGGCCAAAGTGGCATTTCCATTCTCCACACCAAGTTTATTTTAGGCTACTTCGGAGCTCGGGAAGCCCAGGGCAGGGTCCGGGTGGACTTACCTTCTGGGCCCAGGTTAGGCCAGCGGATTGAGGGGTAGAGAATGTGACACCCTGTTCCATGTTGTCACCGCCTCCTGCCGTGCTGCACCTGGGCCTTGCTGGCCCGAGGGGCCTGGCGGATCGTGCTTACTCTGTCCTGTGTGCTGTGGGCTGAGGCAGCCACCAGGTCCAACCCACTGGAAGCCACAAGTATGCAGATCCCTAGTCGTGACCAGCATCTGTCTCCAGCTGTTTGGCATGCCCACTCTGGTGAGAAGCCGCCCTGATGTGCCCAGGCCCTGCCTCAGCTCTCCCAGCTGCTCCTGGCAGTTGTGTCTGGGAAGGCTGACCTAGTCACCACCCTGCCTGACACAGAGAACAGTCGTCCAGACTAATGCTGGACCAAGGACATTCAGGTCAGGCTCTGGGAGGACAGATAGGAAGCCTCTAACTGAAAGGACCTCATGGGTGTGTCCCTCTCTGGTAAGACTCTGCCCTGGGCCAGACTTGGTCTCCTCCAGCACAGCCTACTACACATGGACCTGCTGAGTCCTCACAGCCCCCCTCAGAGGCAGCCTTAGGAACACCATCTGCATAGATGAGGAAAGGAAGGCTCAGCATGATGAAGCCATTACCTAAGTCCCCTGTCACCCACCGTGTGACCCACACGCTGGGCCCTCAGCACCGCCAAGGTCACCCTGTGACTGGCACATGTGGGAAAACTGAAGCTTGCCCAAGCAGCTTGCCTAGGGCTACAGAGCCAGGGCTCCACCCAAACCCTGCCAGCGCCGGTACAGGTCCTCCTGTGTGCCTCCCTGTGCCCCTGCCTCAGAGGAAGCTCTGGGATGTGCTCTGGTTTACTGGAATAGCTCAGGATGTCAGGAGGGGTCTGTGAACCAGCAGCTTACACCCCTCCCCCCCCAGGCAGGGCCAATTGTGACCACCTATAGTGGGTGAGTCTCACAATCTAGAATCTCACACACAATATTAACAGGCCAGCCACCGTGAGCACCCGGCATCTACTTCATTTCACCCAGCCTGGAATACCAGCACAGCTAGCCCATGCTGCCAGAGGTGGGGCTGAGGATGCTCAGTTGGTAGGGCAACTTGCCTAGGAGGCCCTGGGTTCTATCCCAGGCGCTGCATAACAGGGCATGATGGCACACAGCTGTGACCCTCGCCCTTGGGAGGGAGAGGAAAGTCAGGGTGATTCTTGTATATGCATCAAGTTTAAGGCCAACCTGAACACACCCAGGACCCTATCTCAAAAAGGAAAAAAAAGTGGCAAACTCTATTTAAACTTTGTACGTGTGTGCGGTTTCCTCTGTGAACTTCATGCTTTCATTCAAAAGTTGGGAATTGTGGAACCAACAGAAGAAAAACCAGCGAGGGAAGGGGAAGTGGGCAGCTCCCAGAGCCCTGGTGGGGACTGAGGGGTTGTGGCTACCAGCCTGACACTCACTTGTGCCTCTGTCTCCCTGCAGGCGAGTCAGTGGCCAGCTCTATGCATTCCGCCCGCTACCCAAGCCCAGCCGAGCTGGATGCCTATGCTGAGAAGGTGGCCAACAGCCCACTGTCCATCAAGATCTTCCCCACCAACATCCGAGTGCCGCAGCACAAGCACCTGAGCCGCACGGTCAACGGCTATGACACCAGCGGTCAGCGCTACAGTCCCTACCCTCAGCACAGCACCGGCTACCAGGGCCTGCTGGCCATTGTCAAGGCTGCGGTCGTCTCCTCTAGTTCGGCTGTGCCCGCTGGGCACACCAAAAGTGTGCTTAAGAGCGTGGAGGGCAAGCGGACTAAACTGTCACCGGCCACTGTGCAAGTGGGCATCGCACCCTACCCGGTGCCCAGCACTCTGGGGCCTTTGGCTTACCCGAAGCCACCCGAGGCACCTGCCCCACCGCCCAGCCTACCTGCAGCCGCTACTGCCACCTCTGTGATCCCTCTGCCGGGCCGGGGCCTGCCCCTGCCCCCTTCCAATCTGCCCTCCATCCATAGCATCCTCTACCAGCTCAACCAGCAGTGCCAGGCCCCAGGCGCTGCCCCAGGCGCCTGTCAGGGTGTGGCTGTGCCCCACCCCAGTCCAGCTAAGCATGGCCCGATGCCCAGCTTTCCTAGCATGGCTTACTCAGCCACAGCAGGTCTGCCAGACTGCCGGAAAGGGGCAGAACTGAGCCAGGGAGCCACACCAGCCCTGACACTGGCTGGGGCCACCAAACCTGCAGGGTATGCAGAAGGGGGCCTGGATTACCTGCTATGGCCGCAGAAGCCACCCCCACCCCCACCCCAGCCACTTCGAGCCTATAGTAGCAGCACCGTAGCCAACAAGTCTCCTGAGACTTGTGGCGGGCGGGCATTCGAGAGGGCCAACGGGTCGCCCCACAATTGTGGTGTGGGGCTGCCCACCAGCTTCACCGTGGGCCAGTATTTTGCTGCCCCTTGGAACAGTGTTCTGGTGACACCTACTAGCGACTGCTACAATCCAGCAGCAGCTGCGGTAGTGACAGAGCTGGGGCCAGGAGCTGCCAGGGAGCTAACTGGGCCTCCTGCAGACGCACTCTCAGGCCTGGCCAGCAAGAGCATGTGCAACACAGCGGTGCTGAGCAGCAGCCTGCAGTCGCTGGAGTATCTCATCAATGACATCCGGCCACCCTGCATCAAGGAGCAAATGCTCGGCAAGGGCTATGAGACAGTGGCCGTGCCCCGGCTGCTGGACCACCAGCACGCCCACATCCGCTTACCCGTCTACAGATAAAGTCTGCTCTGCGAGCACATGAACCGATGGACAGATGGACAGGGTGCTGAGGGGTTAGCAGGCCACAGCACAGGGCAGGATGCTAGCAGGCCGTCCCGCCTGCCCTGTGGCCGTGTGTCCACAGGGAAGCCAGGCTGGTTCGCTCCGCACTGCAGTGGGAAGGCAGGTTGACCTCACTCACCAGGGCTTTCTCCCCCAACTTGCTGCCCTAGGGAGCAGGGAGGGTCCAGGGCTGCCTGCAAGGCCCATCCTTCCTCCCATCGAAGCAGGGAAAGAGGACCTTCTGCAGACAGGAAGTTCCTTCTGGAGCTCCAGCAGAGGCATTCAGACCAGGGGTGCTTCAGTCAGCATGAGCCACACATACTGGGTCTTTACCCATAGTCCCCTAGTCTCTCAGAAAAGGAGCAGGAAGGATTCTAGAAAGTCCCTGGGTCCAAAGTGCACCCCCCACCAACTACTCTAGGTGAAGACCACTCTGACTCCAGACTCCTAGAGGCCTCAGGACTACCAGCCCCCTGTTCCTCCTGACTCCCCTCCCCATCCTTCCTAATAGGAATCACATCCCACCCTCCTCTCTCCACCCTGGACCAACCTCTTCTCTGTTCCCTCCACTACACCGTATAGGGCTGCCGGGAACAGCTGGTGCATTGCACAAGGGCACTGTGCCCAAGGAGACTCCACGCACGTCCTAAACGTGTGTATTTGTTAGAGTTGCCTGCATTCCGAGGAAGGGACACCATTTCCCTACCCGCACAGAGATGTCACGGGCTAGCGAGGGGCCTGCAAATTCAGACTCCATTCATGTGGACGATCTTGCCTTCAAGTGTGGGGTCTCCTGGGAGCTAGTGAGAGGGTGACCTCCTGGCTGTAACTGGAATACCCCATCCAGCTCCTCTGCAACCCCCCCCGCCCCAGGCCTGACCTGCGCTGCTGTGGGGAGAGGTGGCATAGATAAACCCAAGAAGCCAAGGCCCGCAGTCCCTGGGTCCCAGCCCAGCCCCAGGCACTCACTCTGGAAGCGGTACCATATCTCTCCAAGGCCTGTCCAAGCACTAAGTGCATTTACAAATCTCTGAGAATGTTTTTTTTTATACTAAAATTGACCATTATATTCTACTGTGAGAAGTGCAGTCTGCACTTTGTTGTTTTAAAAACGAAGAGAAAGAGAAAAAAAAACAGAAAACAGATGGTGTCTCAGCCATGTGCTGTGAAGATGTTTCCACTCTCGCTGACTCCCTCGGGGCTCCATGGGAGGGCGCCCCAGGGAGCCTGGCGGGAGGGTTGGCATACATGGTATTCTGTGCCTAAGTTATTACGAAGCTCTTCAAACTGGGTGCTACCCCATGTGTTCTGTCATCTTTGGTGGCCAGTGGTCCACCCATAGAAGCAAAATCAGAATCAAAACTAAGCTCCGGTAGCTCTCTAGTGCTGGGGTGGCTCCCCCATCATAAGCCCCTCTCCAGCTCCTGTCATCTCCCAGCTTAAATGGTGGCAAAATACCTGGGGACAGGCTTGCCATCATCCTGGCCAGCCCAGATGACACTGGGCCAGACACATGTCACTGGGAGGTCATTCGCCAGGGACCAGCTGAACCTTGCTAGAGACTCATCTTTGGGAGGTGGGAGGTCTCCTGCCTGAGTTTATAGTGCCATGGGCCTGGTGCCCACACAGAAAGATGAGACCTGTCCTACGGTGGGGGTGGAGAGTGGAGGGCAGAATCTGAGTTCAGAGCACCCAACAGGATGGGAGACGGGAAGAGGGGTCCAATCCCACAGCATGAAGGTTTCACTGTGCCCATGTTTAATCCCTGTCAGATAATCTATGCCAAGAAAAATTGGGACATCCAGTCTGGGGCAGCCCTCCCGCCCCACACGGAGCCCTGGCCAGTGCGGTGGGGATCAGGGCAGAGGTAGGAATGTCCCAAGTCAGCCAGGCCCTCAGCTGGGGCCACAGTCTCCTGAAACCTTTCAGTAACCCAGAGTCCACTCAAAGGGAATAGTCTCAATGTCACCGTGTGCAGAAGACCAGGCTTTTCCCTGGGAATTTCACCCCGAGCCAGGCACATCTGCTAGCCCAGGGGATATGGGAGACCAGGCGACACGGGGTAAGTGCTGGAAAGACCACCAGGGTCGAGTCACAAAGAGTAAGTGACGTGATGACCTCAGTGGCCCTGTCAGGTAAGGAATGTTTCTATTAATGTACCAGGGAACAAAACTTTGTTCAGGGAAACTATGTTGCATTGGAGGAAAGTGAGTGCCTTCTCCCTGGGCCTCAGTTTCCTCAGTTGTAACACAGGCTTCATAGTGAGCTGCAGAGGAGCAAGGATTTGACTCCATCTGTAACCAGCGGTCACTGGGCCCACAGCTAGGTTCTTAGCGTCCTATTAGGAAGGTGAAGACAGTGGCGCAGCACAACCACTATGAATACATTTGTTTAGGGCAGGGACCCTTGAACTCGAGATGCCCCTGCCTCAGCCTCCCAAATGCTGAGGTTGCAGGCAGATCCTAGCACACACAGATGAGAACACCTACTCTGAGGGGAAAATAGGCCCAGGGAGGGAAGGCAACTTGCCTCAGATCACACAGCAATTTGATCCTAAACCCTCTAGAAGCTGGGCTGCCTTTTCCTCACAGAATGAAAATAGGCTTCTCCCAAGTCCTGGGCTCCAGGTGCTGGCGCACCCGCTGCTGTTAAACTTCACCTTTGTAAAGGCTTGAGACATTGAATTTTTAACAAATCCTTGTGGGGCTAGAGACACCTCAGTGATGCAATGTTTATAAGGCCTGGGTCCCACCTCTCACAACTCCCAAGAAGTTGCACCCTGTAATAAAACAGGGCTCAGGTTCAAATCCTGCCTCCACCACATCCTCACTATGTCCTGGACTGGGTTCATTTATTGGTTCTCACTTCTTCCTCTAAAAAACGGAGTTGAAACACTGTACTTCTTACCTATGCGGTAAGTGACAGAAACCATGGCTTCCCTAGTTAAGATGAGAAAGAAAATGTATTCGCTCAAACAAGGATAATTTAAGTGCAGGGTAGCCCAGGGGTTGGCTGAGTCATAAGTAGCCCAATGGTGTCATCAGGGACTCCCTCCCTTTTCATCGCTGTCTATTCTATTGTGGGTGACCACAGCTTTATAAGAGAAAGCATTTAACTGGGGGCTGGCTTACAGTTTCAGAGGCGTAGTCCACCGTCATTGTGGTGGGAGCCTGGCAGCAGGCAGACATGGTGCTGGAGCAGTAGCTGAGAGTTCCACATCCCGATCTACAAGGCTGTAGACTATTAAAGAGCTCCACAATAGCCCGGAATGGAGCATAACAAAGGTTTATTTGTTTGGGGCTAAACCGCACAGTAAGGGTAGAGATCCATGGTCCTCTGTGGGTGCTGGAAGCTTGGGATCAAATCTAGTAAAAAAAAAAAGGGGGGGCTGCATGCATGCTTTTCATCTGCACTTATAGTACCTCAGACCACACCCAAGTGGACCACATCTAAAAGGCTATTGGCTAAAGGAGTTCCCATAATACTCCCTCTTTGTCTAAATAAGAGGGAAGCCTAATACAAGACTATATACAATAAGAACAAATATCAGGTATTGTCCAGGGAAAAGAAGAGACAAGAACATACAAAAATTAGAACTACAACCAGCATGACAACATCACGCAAGAAACATACGCTAAATGTCCAGTCTAGATAATGAATAAATAGCAGAGATTATTTCAATGGTTATCCTATCCTGACAAGTCTAACTCTTACATTAAAAATGTCTTGGTTCAGTCAAGAAAACAAAGTAACTATGACTATCTAGTCTTCAAGCCCATCAAAGACCTGAGAAGGGAAATAATATTACCTGAGTAAACAGGAAGTGCAATCAAGCAACTTCCAAAAGGTGCAAGAAATGACAGAGACAACTGGCTACCTGGGCAGTCACCCAAAGTCTCATTTGCAACGTTGACGCAACCAACTTTGGCTAAGGTTTAGAGTTATCTAACAGACCATTTTCAGAGGCAGGAAAATTTGAAAGACTGTCTTACCCTGTGTTGGCTGAAGGAATTCCTACAACACCTGGCATGGGCTTTTGAAATCCCAAGGCCCAACCTCAGTGACAGGCTTCCTCCAGTAAGGTTATACCCTCCTAACCCTTTCCAAATACTGCCTGGTGACTGAGCATTCAAATCGGTGAGCCTTTGGGGGCCATTCTTATTCAAACCATCATACCCGTGTTCTGGTCTCAGCATCCCTTCCTAGTGACAAAATAGCTACCACAGTTCCAGCCACCACTTCCAGACCCACCGGTGAGGCGCAGCTGGGGGAGGGGCAGTCCCACTCCCCCGGGGATCAGCACTGGGCCACAGGGCTATTCCACGCCAATGTCATGTGTGTTGGGGGTCCGTGCTGTGCAGAGCAGGGTGTATGAGGAAGAGGAGGCCCAGCCTCAAGCTCACACAAAGCCAGCTTCTGCCTGGCCATCTGCTTCCCTTGCCTGAACCTCCCTTCACAAAGAGCACTACCAGCCTGGCCTCTCCCCACACTCCTTGGCTCTTCAGTCCCTGGGCTGTGGACCTCTGCTGGCCATGGCTGTCCTCCCGTTCTCTCACCTCCCACACTCCCTCTTGGGAAGATCCCCTCATTGCCCTCAGGGACCCCGGAGTCCTCAAAAATGAAAGGCTCAGGAGGTTCCTGGCTCTCAAGTCCATGCTTCTGCCAGGCCAGAAGTGGGGGTACAGGCCCAGAGGACCCAGCTGCCTAATCACCCAATCAAAGCAGAGGCACATCCACAGGGCCAAGGCCTGGCAGGGAGGTCACCCTGGCCAGCACAGCTAATAAAACCCCTGGCACTCATCTGAATAGTAACAGCCTTGAGAGGCAACTGTTCAGTCAAATCCAGAGCGCTCCCTCCCAGCCTCACTTGACCCCACCCCTTCGCTTTGATCTCTCATGATATTTCCCAGAGAGCTTTAAACTTGGGGGACAGATCAGTCACACATGTTGTACGAATGCTCACCCCAATGAGCCTCTCCAGGAAGGAAGGGACAGGCCACCAAGAGAGCAACGGGGACTGGGGATCAGCTGACAGGGCCTCCACAGGAAGGCAGAGACTATGAGGGCATGGTGCTGGGTTCAAATCTCATCTTCACTGTTTGTGGCCCTGGCTACAGTCCTGGCCTCTTGAATGTCACAGAGTTCTGGTTTGGGGCTTGGCTGGCTTCTGAATCCATTAACTAGCTGACCAAATTATTTAAAAAAACAAACAAACAAACAAACCAGACCAGGCGGTGGGGCACATGCCTTTAATCCCAGCAATTGGGAGGCAGGTGGATCTCTGTGAGTTCAAGACCAGCCTGGTCTACAGAGCTAGTTCCAGGACAGGCTCCAAAACTACAGAGAAACCCTGTCTGGAAAAACCAACCAACCAGCCAAACAGACAAACCAAAGGGCCGGAGAGATGCCTGGGTCACGGGCTGCTCTCACAAAGGACCTCAGCTCACAGCAGAGGGCGAAACAGTTTAACTGCTAAGAGGGGAGTAGACAAGAAGTGTGGCGTGATGGCACACACCTGTTGCTCCTGCACTTGGCAGGTGGAGACAAGACTGAGGTCTCAAGACCTGTCTGGGATACAGGACAGAAACAGTGTAACTGCTACAGGCTGAATTTTCCTGGGAGGGAGATGGCTCATCCCTCCCGCTTCTTAATCCTGTCTTCAAGAAAAAGGGACTCTAGACCAATAAGGTCTAACCAATGAAAGAGCAGTCCGCTTCCCTGCCCTCAGAGATTGGCTCAGGAATGGACATGTGTCCTGAGCCAGCCAGGTAAGAGGCAACCCTGGGTCTGGGGCTAGAATGGTGGATGAAGCTGGAAACCTGGGCCAACACCCTGGGAAAGCCGTCCTGGGACAAAACCCACAAGCTGGGCTGAGGCCCAAAAGACAGGGTGGTGAGTACCTCAGCTGAGTCCCTGGATCCAGCCATGCCTGAAGCCCAGATTCATGGTCATTTTCAGTCATATGGACCAATTTATGAGCCTGACCAGGTGGTGAAGGACTGTGACCCCTCCAGCTGGGAGGCTGAGTTAGGGTGCTGTGTTCGCGGCCAGCCCGAGCTGGGCAAGCCAGCAGGACTCAATCACCAGGTCATACTCAGATGTCTTTTCCCACACAGTACTCATGGGGAGTGCTAAGACTACCGGCTTGGCCAGCGAGACAGCTCAGCATGCAGGGATGCTTGCCACCAAGATTGATGGTCTGAATTCAGTCCCCGGCATGCATAGCAGAGGGAGAGAAATGACCACTGTCTTCTGAGCTCCGCACCTGTGCCATGGCATGTGTGCGCCTACGCACACAAAAACAAAAGTAACAATTTTAATTAAAAAGGGGCTGGCGAGATGGCTCAATGGGTCCTAGGTCCTAGCCGACCTGTTGTGACCCGTACGTAAGTCAGCTCTCACGACAGTATTTAACTCCAGTTCCAAGGAATCTGCGCCCTCTTCTGTCCTCTGCACGCACTGCATGCACACGGTTACAGGCAGGCAAAGCACCCATATACATAAAAAATAAAGAAAAAATTTTAAAGAGTGCCAACTTTGTAAGATTCCCCACAAGATTTAAATGGGGTGACAAAGAAGCTTTGAGGGGTCTGTTCCTGTTAACAAAAGGAGGATTGCGCCATTATAGATTCCATGAGAAACACTAGAGACCCCTGTGGAGTGGGCCACTGGGGATGCAAGAGTGCATGGGGGGTGGGATGTCGTTGTAGGTCTGCACTCGCGGGGTAGTTGTGTGCCCCTGAGCAAAACACCCTATGCTTTGTTCAAAGCATGGAAGGTTGGTGTGTGGCTCGGTGGCGGAGTGTTTGCCTACCATGCTCGAGGTCCTGGGTTCCATCCCAGAACCTCAGAGAACACTAGAGGAGATGGGCTAGGTCTCTGGCTGGGATCATGAATTGTGAGATTCATTGTGACATCACTGCCCAACTGTGCCAGGATGGGTCTCCATAAGTTGGGTATTCCAAGTGAAATAGCAGATTCTCAGAGTACCCCAGCTTGGTGACACAGCAATGCACACGGTGGGAGTTTTGGCTTTTTCTCAAAAATACTGTCCCAGAGATCACCGGCACAGGGAGAAAAAAAGTCAAAGTTCACAGCATGGCCCTGGGCACAGGTGGAGCCCTTGCCCACCATTGTCAAGTCTGACCATTCATTTTAAGTGGAACCAGCTCAAGTCGGGACGGTGCTCAGGCAAACTCTGTCCTTCAGTCATCAAGCTGTGGGACCCCATGTGGTGACTAGTCAGGCAGGCACTGACCCCAGGGTCAGTGGAGAACAGGCCACAGAGAGGATCATGGCTGCCGGAGGGAGGGGCTGAATGAGCCAGGGTGCTTCCGATGGGAGAAGGGGGATAGTATGAGGGTGGGGGTAGCCTGAGACTGAAAACCAAAGACATTGCTTTATTTTCTCTGTAGACAGGATCTCATGTAGCCCATGGTTGCCTTGAATTCATTATGTAAACTTGAGTTCTTGTTCATTTTGAGACAGCCTCACTATGCAGCTCTGGCTGGCCTGGGACTTGCTATGCAGACCAGGCTGGCCTTGAACTCACAGAGATCCACCTGCCCCTGCCTCTGAAGCTTTGTGTCCCCATACCTGGCTAAAGCGTGACCTTTTAATGCTCTCCAAATAAACCACAGCCTTTCTTTTTTTTCCATCTTATTATGTGTACAATATTCTGTCTGTGTACATGTCTGCAGGCCAGAAGAGGGCACCAGACCTCTTTACAAATGGTTGTGAGCCACCATGTGGTTGCTGGGAATTGAACTCAGGACCTTTGGAAGAGCAGGCAATGCTCTTAACCACTGAGCCATCTCTCCAGCCCTCCATCTTATTTTTTAATTTATTTTTATTGAGCTCTACATTTTTCTCTGCTCCCCTCCCTGCCTCTCCCCTCCCCTTCAACCCTCTCCCAAGGTCCCCATGCTCCCAGTTTACTCAGGAGATCTTGTCTTTTTCTACTTCCCTTGGAGATTATATCCATGTATAACTCTTAGGGTCCTCTTTGTTGTCTAGGTTCTCTGGGATTGTGATTTGTAGGCTGGTTTTCTTTGCTTTATGTTTAAAAACCTTATGAGTGAGTATAATTGTCTTTCTGGGTCTGGGTTACCTCACTCAAAATAATGTTTTCTAGCTCCATCCATTTGCCTGCAAAATTCAAGATGTTATTTTTTTCTGCTGTGTAGTACTCCGTTGTATAAATGTACCACATTTTTCTTATCCATTCTTTGGTTGAGGGGCATTTAGGTTGTTTCCAGGTTCTGGCTATGACAAACAAAGCTGCTATGAACATAGTTGAGCACATGTCCTTGTGGCATTGTTGATCATCCTTTGGATATATATACCCAAAAGTGGTATTACTGGGTCTTGAGGAAGGTTGTTTCCTAATTTTCTGACAAATTGCCACACTGATATCCAAAGGGGCAAACCACAGCCTTTCTTGGTGACATTGCCTAAGGCAGAGCCAGGATATGGGGGAACGAACCATAGCAGATGCTTGCGAAGCCTCCTGGATTCCCTCATCCTCCTTTCTCACACAGCTCTAACCGGCTAGGGGATCACTTCCTCCCTGTTTTCCTCTACCTTTAGATAGTTCCTGCTTCTTGTCTGCTGATTGGCTGAAGCATTAGACACAACACAACCGTGGTCAATGGTCCGAGGGCAGAGGCTAGGCTAGAGGGGTCTATGGCGTGGGTTGACGAGACAGAGGCAGAACCATCCCCTTGTGCCTTCTGGAGGTGCCTGGTTCCAGGGCACACTGTGTCCCTGTGGGAAAAGCCTGCACAGCCCAGAGGGCCTCACATGTAGCTGAAACTGAAAACCTCCATGAGTGGTAGAACCAGGCTCTTAATAGATCAGCCCTGGAATTAGGTAGCATCAGAGGGATTTCTGCCGCATGGGACGATAAATGCTTGTTTTTCTTTTTCTTTTTTTTTTTTAAGATTTATTTATGGGCTGGAGAGATGGCTCAGTGGTTAAGAGCATTGCCTGCTCTTCCAAAGGTCCTGAGTTCAATTCCCAGCAACCACATGGTGGCTCACAACCATCTGTAAGGAGGTCTGGCGCCCTCTTCTGGCCTTCAGGCATACAGACAGAATATTGTATACATAATAAATAAATAAATATTTTTAAAAACAGATTTATTTATTATGTATACAACATTCTGCCTCGATGTATGCCTGCACGCCAGAGGAGGCCAGATCTCAGTACAGATGGTTGTGAGCCACCATGTGGTTGCTGGGAATTGAACTCAGGACCTCTGGAAGAGCAGCCAGTGCTCTTAACCTCTGAGCCATCTCTCCAGCCCCCGAAATGCTCGTTTTTCTGTTGACTGGCTATCTGAACCACACAATTGTGTGACCACTACAACCACAACCCGGCCTATTTGGGGAATCTTAAAGGGTCACCACATCTGCATCCCTTTTAGTGGCTAAATTAGATTCCAGTACACAGCTATAGCACACTGTTTATCCACTCATCCCTCAGCCTGGGAAACTGAGGCTTGTGCAAATGCCTCCAGGACTCTGAAAATTCCTGAGACAAAGCGTGAGCCCACTTCTCTGCTCTGAAGGGAGAGCCTTCTGGAACATTCTCCCATGTTTCCAACCTCACTGTCCCAAATCAGGAGCACCCAGGATAGACAGGGCCCTCCCTGTGTCTCCAGCATGCATCTTCAGGGAATAGCCAGGTGCCATCTTGTTTTGTGACCACCT